GGTCCGCTGGCCCGGGGCCACCAAAAAATTCATTCTCCAATAAGGATGGTCCGCCAGGACAGTGGTCATATGAGAAACACTACCACATTTTCAAAACTTTCATCCCATTTTACGACTTGTGTTTCAAATAACCGGTGCAGCACTTTTGAGTTCATGGTATAATTTCACAGTTCCAAATTTTAAATGAACTGAATGCTCATTTAAATACTTTTAATCTATTGTGTGGTAATGCCTGACCTCAGGATGGGGTACGGCTAGGTTGGCAGGTTTGCTTTGGTAGTAGCGCGGTGCAGTGGGAACCAGTGAAGCCTTGCTTCTCTGCATTGAGCAATAATGTGAAGCAAAATGTGAAGGGAACTTATGAAAATAATGGAACATTCTTTCCAAATGTGGCGAATGTAAGCAGGCAAACGAAAAAACTCCCAAGGTTTTAGATGTAAAAAAAAGTTGTGAGGTATTCTTTGAAGACAGGAAAAACAGGATTTGTTTTTTTCTTTTCTTTTTTTTTTGTATTTTTAAATGTGTTTTTCTAACTTACCAATATAAATTTTACGGTCGTGCCAAAAATTTATTATCGGTCACATAACCAGAAGCAGAACTAGTTTTTTTGATCTTGAAAAGTGTATTTAAATCCAGGCTGGCTAATCAGCTGTTTTGGTTGAGAAGCTCCACTGATGCAAATGGGCATGTGTGGTGGGCCTGATCAATTTCTTTACATGTACTCAACCTGGGCCACCAAATTTTCACAAGGGCCAGTGCGGTGCACTTCCCCACTGGCCTTGCAGGCCACCAAGAGATTGAAGTTAATTTTGACCCCTGCAAAAAGACTAATAATTGGGGGAGGGGAATATTCTTTTGAGCATAACACTGAACCCTGTGAATCTTTCCACATGGGATAAAACTCCTGTTAGGTGCACATAGTGAGCACGAAATAGACATTTTAAGCTGTACTAAATTACCAAAAAAAAAAAAAAATCCTATAAACCCCCTTGCATCAAAATCCTGGTAGAAGAGCAATGGTTGTTTTATTGCTTGTAAAACATACCAGTACTTATTATGGCGATAGATATTATTTTGTGACTTTTTCACTGGTACATGCATGGTATGGGCACAATGGCACAATCAGCCTCCACCTGTTGTACTACCAAACAGCAGTGAATATTAAATACATTATGCCAAAATAAAGGGAATTATGAGCTGCTCTTTAGTCATTAGCTGTGGAAATTAAGGCAAATGAATGTGTCTCTTGCAATGCCTTCATAGTACTCCTGAATTGCTCAACCCATCTGCCGTGCCACAGTGGACTGAATGGAATCGTTTGAAGATATCACTCGTGATTGATCCTGAAGCTTGAATGTCCCCTTCCGTTGTGTCAAGTCTGAAGAAAAGGAATCAATCTTGACGGAATCCAGTCTCGCCTTTAAATATTTTATGTCTGCCCCTGGTGGGAATGACGGTCCTAAATTATGGGGTTATTCCAACCAATTAGGGGTGTAACTGTCTGTGACAATGACAAAATAAATTTGAAAACACATCTTTAATTTCAAGCCACCTATTCATTTCCACCATGAGGCTTTGTAGTATTATTAAGGAATGAGGCAGAAACTGGTACCCAGATCCATGTCTCTATCTTTTATCCAGTACCTTTATATGTACAAAGGGGCTACTTGCATGTACCGGTACACGGTGTTATTTATTTCCTGCACAGCGAACAACTTTAGAAGACTCCAAAGGGTCCTTGTAAGAGGGCAGAGAGAGAAAGGGCCCATGGCTACATGGAGGAACACTATATTTTCCTTCTGTACAACAAACATCAGACTTTTATAAACTTGTAAACTTACTGTAGCCTGCAGACTGAATATGCAAAGGCCAGCTGTGGTCACATAAAGTGTAAACTAAGTTTTAACTCCATTTACCAAACCAGGATAAATTCTTTCATGATTTGGTTACGAAAAGAGAAAGAAAATGCTAAACGTGTACAAAGATAAACCGAAATCACTAACATATAGTGTTTGAAAACTGAGATTGTATGTATGCAAAACCGTGCAAATAAATGAAGAATGGTTTGAACATAATACTGGTCCAGTGGCCAAATACCACTCCAACTATCGTAGCCCAATCAAGTCCTTATAGAAGGGGTCCAACTGACCAGTTAAGGCATATTTCTGAACACTCCTTGATACATGCATTTCTTCCATCACTGTCTGCAATGCACAATTTATGAAATGTCAGTTCCCATTCAAAAAGAAAATTCTTAAACATAGAAACCTAAAGAAAAAGGTTTTTTTTTCCCAAAGTAAACTAAAAACTAAAACTATAGCCATCAAATGTGACAATTGCTTTCTGATCAGGTGGTGTGTTGTAGTGAAAGCACACATGGCATAAGGCAGTATGTGCAGTTGGGCTGATTTCTGCCACTAAATTTCCTAAACAATAATGAAAGACCTAGTGGTGCGAGGAACCTACAAGGAATGGTATACTATTTGTGTCTGCATTCAACAACAATGACTGTACATGTAGGTCCAAACTTTCAAAGCATTAGATGAAGATTTCTAAGAGTGAAGTAACAAAATGGGTTTATATTTTCTGTGTTTCATTATCAAGTATTCATATTCAGGCAAAAAGTCTCATCTTACATATAGCAGCAATGGAAAGAAATGTGATTTTCTGGGTGACCATCGCCTTGCCTGGACCAGTGTATGTATGAGGCGGTGGTCAGTCTATGGTTGTCTACATGCAACACTCATGACCTGCGATACATGAACCAAATTGGCCATAGCCTAGGGTGAGACTGAAGGAGCATGAATCATCCACGAAATAATCACCAGAGGGTTTTTGAGGGTCCCAAAGTAGCACAGTCTACAGTAAACATAAATGTATCTGCCTACCAGGACGTGTATCAGCACCCCTTCAAATACCCCTTTCTTGTACTTAATATCAACTCTTATCCCAGTACATAAAAAATTAGTTTTACACAGATGTTCCAGATTTTAAAAGAGATTGAAATCAGAAAAATCCTGATGAAAAAATGCCGATATCAGGAAATATCCCTACAAACCCCCCCCCAAATTTTTGTTTCCAAGTACATGTACGGCTCAAATTTTCCTTCACTTTTGAGATATTTTTATCTGTTGTAAATACGCTCCTTTGAATGCAAAGAAAAGTGCAGTTACCGGTACTTCAATGAGTTAGACTCAATGACTTTTGTAAAACAGAGAAATTTTGTAACAAATCCTGTGGGACTGCATATGATGTACAGTACTTAATGGGATGAAACGGGATGCAGAACAACGTTTGAGAATTTTCGGGATTTATTTCATGTTAGTAATTCTTACGGCTACATCCTGGGTCTAGAAGGAAAATTCCCAACACATTTGGCATCACAAGACATTAATTTACAGATGGTGGAGACACCAGAAGGAAAATTCCCAACACATTCGGCATCACAGGATATTAATTTACAGATGGTGGAGACACCAAAGAAATTTGTATTTGTGAGGGCAATTTTGAAGAGTACCAGTAAGTGGGTTTGTTTAATCAGCACAACGCTTCACAATACTATGTCTCAGTTAAACGGGGAAATTCACAACTAATTTCTCATCTTTCATGTTAACACTTTTTTTTTTTAATTTAACACTAAAAGTTGCCAGCAGAACTCGCACCGACAGTCCAAATTGTTACAGCCCAGTCAAGATAAGTCTGCACTGGTTCAGATGGCCAACAGTAATAAAGTTATGGGGAACTCTGGTAAAATGTACTCTCACTGTGGACAGTATAATCAGATGCATTAGCAGAGTTCAGAAATTTCTTCCTCACTCCAGAGAAGTACCAGTGCCTTGTCTTTCTCACAAACCATCTGCCATTTTGTGCAACGTTACCGTGCCTACATGTACATGTAATCATTCATAGCACCAGCATGCATTTTCATTTGACAAAAAGATATCTCTTGCAGAGTTCTGTTCAAATTGTTTTTTTGTGTGGTGGGTGCACACCACACAATTCATCAGTGAGATGATGGGGGATTTAGGCAGGAGTGGTACAATACACAAACAAGTACATGAACATTTTATGCCAACCCAGTGGGATATTGTTGCTGGCTAATAAAGCACCCTCACTCGTGCATGCACACAGTCAATAATGACTATCACCACATGGCCTACGATGGAATGAGTGAATGAAATCTACCTGCTTCATAGAAGTCGCGCGGCTCTTGCTTGATCGGGAAACCCGCGTAGCCATGCTCGAACTGACCACCAATGTGGCCCTGGTGCTTGAAAGGAACAAATGTGGGCTCTGAGTTCTGGCGCTGGAAGTGAGAGCGCTGCTCGCTGGGAAAAGACAGGAAGCACGGCTCTGACGTCTGACGATGATATCTACATGTAGGGACAAACACAGCAGCGATGCTTCAAACCATCACTAAATACATGTGACTGCTCAAATAATGCCAAGATGTAAACTCAGAAGATGACAAAAGTCCAAGCATAAACTGGGAAATGAACTCACTATGCTCAAGCAGAAAAACAGCTATTTTTCTACCATGATAGTTATGCTCTTTAACAAAAGCAGAAATTAAATGGTACAGAATTTGTTCTCAAATGAATACATGTACGTTACATGCACACATCACAGGGTACAATAGTAATCTGTTCTAACAGGTCTCAAATTAATCAAAAGTGCTTCATATGTATAATACAAGTGCATAAATGTAAATGTATTTCATTGGATCTTTCAATGATTGCAAAAATCCTACAAAGTGCCTTCTTACAGCATCATGTGATCAGTAAATTCTTCCAAATTTGTCCACAAATCTTGGTTTGTAGGCAATGTCTCTACTGGCACAGCTACGGTTTACAAGTCACATTTTCTTATTTTTCAGTGGGTTCAGACTGGCTTGTAGGTCTAACACACTCATTTGGTTTCGAAAATATTGCCTTGTGCTCCCTACAAGGCAATATAAACTTTGCACTCATACACAGTCCAAATACTAAAAACTCAAATAAATCAATTTATTCTATCACAGCTGAAGAAACTTGAATCGAAGCAAGTCAAATTTTAAATTTTGTTCACTCGTACCAAAAACAAGCACAAAAAAAAAGAAAAGAGAGACAATCTGTTCTTACCTCTTCTCCATGGTATATGCTTGGAGGTCTCTAGCAGAAGGAAATGCTGGTTCCTTGAAGGGAGTACAGGCAGACAGTGCACAAGAGGATCGCGGGGATGAACGTGCCATCTCCTGCTTGACCACGTTGAAGTTCAAGTCCAGGCTGGGCAGGGAAGAAGAGGATGCAGTGGACAGAGGGGTGGTGATCCGCAGGTCACTGCGCTCATCAGAAGTTGTGGGGACCAGGGGCGTGCTGCTCCCCGTACCACTGGTGGTTGGGGTGGGGGGGCTGGACAGGCCACTGGGCTTCATCGGGGGCACGTCAATCACCAGCTGCTCGCCAAACTCGAACTTGTGGCTGTTGCTGAAGTCGAAGTGAGGTGTCGTGGACATGGAGGAGGATGAGGAGGGGAACTTCATATGAGCGCATGGCTTGTGACAACTCGGACTCTTGGGCTCTGCCTTGATCTTCACGTTGAGAGGAACTGCAATAGGGAAAAAAAAACCAAAGCAAAGTGCACTTAGCTCTGTTCAAATGAGCAAGTTATCTCAGTGCAAAATGAAATTTGTCTCAGCTTGTTTCAACTATTCAAAAATTAGAGCAATCATTTTTTATTTACAGTGTCAATAATGGTTTCATTTAAATCCCACAGCATAGATTTATAAAAAGTTGAAGTCCTATGTACATCAACGGAGTCAGACTATACTGGACATAACTCAATCGGTGCCCCGCACGCCTCTCACCTATTGCAAGGCGTGTGTCATACATAGCAACGTATCAACTGCTGGGAAAAAAAGGACCCAAGGAAGCCAGCTAGACTCCACAACTTGTTTCCACCGTTCTGCTCTTGGGTTTAACACAGTCTACCATTCCAGTTAGCTTGCTTCTGTCACACCTTATCTACGCTAACACAACTACAAAGAAGCTGCAACTCCCAGCTTTCATCACCCTCCCCCCCACCAAACTAGAGTCATCCCAATATCACCATGGCAATGGTTAATTACCAAATGACAAAAAGGAGCGGCAGAGATGAGCACTGCCGCAGTGAGTGGGCCAGGCTCATTTGCATGTTATGGCCACCAATAATATAATGGATATGTATCATGGAGGGAGGTCCTGATTTGCATGTCAATGGGAAGACTTGGGGGGATGCTGGGAGCACATGGCTTGCTTCATCCAATGATGGTGAGGATGAGGTCCTGGACACTGATAGCACTGGGTAATCATTGCCTATACTTGATTGACAGCTTCCTACGTGGGCATGAACACGATAAGTATGTCACGACATGTAAAGCAAATGCTAACACAGATGTCCATGCAGCCATAGACTACTTGTACATGCCGCTAAGAAAAATGTGATGTTCTTGTACAACCTCTCCTTGCAAACTTATGAGCGTTTTTTCAACCCCTCACAACAGGGGGCTCACCTAATGATATATTTTGTTTTAAGGTTGTCATGCATATAGAGCATCATTGTATGAAGTTAAACCCTATTAAATATGGAATTTTGTTGTTTTACAACATGCATTGGAAGCAGGAAAAAAATTAGGGAACACCATTTTGCGCTTCTGACAAAAATGAGGTCAAAACGTCCACAAAAGCATCAGGAGAAAGAGAAAGAGGAGAAGCAGAGGAAGGGCAGAGAGACTGATAAAGCTTTCTCCTCCCACTTTGTAAGATTCCTGTCTTATGAACGTCACACTGAAGAAACAGCCCAAATCTTCTGGTAATAGACATTACCAAACCAGCCTAACGTTAACGATGCAAATTGACCATGAGCATTGTGAACCCTGAAGAAGCATCACAAACAGTTACAGCAAATCAAGCATGTCAACATAATCTTTAACCAATCAGGTCTATTCCTAGGACCCCAAAATGAATTGATAGTAGATGAATTGATTTGCACTGACCTTGGTTTCCTCCCCCCCCTAACAAAAGCCCAGTGGTCCGCTCATTAATTCAGGAAAACAACTCCCAAACACGAACTGCACAAATCAGAACAAGTTACTGGCTATTCACTGGTGCACGCAGTTGGAAAACAGCCAGCTGTATGCAATTCAGATGTCAAGTTACATGTACAAAAGATGAGTAATTGATTTTGTTCTGCTTGGTTATTCTAGATTAATGTTTGGCAAAACATGGGATGTATGGGCTGAGAGAAACTCAGACAAAGCCAAGCCAATGAAATGCATAAATGTCTGATTTTCTTAACAAACGTGCCTGAACAGAGATTGTATCAGTAAAGAATTAAGATGTACACCGTACATTGTACTGTAAGTTTAATCCTATTATTATTTCACCAGTACTTATGAAATACAAAAGAATAAGGCCTTGGCTGAAAACCATACATCCAATGGAACGGCAATGGGGGGTGGAAGGGAAAAACATCACTCTTCAGCAAGAAGTAGTGACACATGCTTTCGATCATACAGGAAAATACCATGGATCAGAGAACAAAACAATATCTGGCATTGAAATTTTGGAACTTGTGACATTGCATATGAAGCTACCAGACTTCATCAGGCCAGTGATGACCAGGGAGGCAAGCCAAGTGACAAACTGCTAGAAACAGATTGAATGACCAGATCATCTAATGCCCTTATAAAATCTGATGGTTAAGATGCAACATAGCAAGTTGCAAGAATAACTTCAAGAAAATGATTTATTCTTCAGTTCCAGTGGAAAAATTAGTTAGAAAAATCCAGAGGGTTTGAAGAAGGCAAATCGACTTTGAGAGTCTAAGAGTAGTTTTGGTGAGCTCAGTGAGCTGCATTCTCGAGGACTGTGTGAAGTGTCTAGCGGTCGCTTTCTGATCATTTTGTAATGAGTGACTGAATCAGTTGGACTCAAGCAAACAGGAGAAGTAAGCAATCAGAAAGACAACAGTAGTTAAGCATGGGTCTCAGAGAGCTTAGGATTCGCTGAGACCCAAACCAGATTGTATACAGCTCATGCTACCATCAGAGCAGAACACCAGATGAAGAAAGCACAGTGTTACGACAGAGGCCAGCAAGTACAGATGGATATGTGGACAACTGTACATGAATGGCAGCAACACGTCATGATGTGGCTGACTAGATGAAAGTGGAATGGCAAACACTGAAGCAACAAACAGAAAAACAGTCCCAAAACACTAACCGTAAAAATAAAGTTTAAGGAAAGTGCTTTACATGATTCAAATCAGTCCAAATTGAAATTTTCTTTTACAATTCTACCATACAGGTTACACTGAGGCCTCTAAGTTTGCAAGTTCAAGATGGACGAACTTCTGTGAACACTTACATGCAAAAATGTTCCTGAACTGCCAAATTGGTGTACATTCAGGGTTGAGTAGATCATAATGAAGTACATGTAGTAGCAGGAATGATTGGAGGAACGCTGGCATTACATGGACCAGTAACAGCAGTGCTGGTACCGGGAAATGAGCAACCTACATGCACAGGCATTTTGGCATTTGTGTGGTTTGGCAACACCTGGAAACACAATATTGTCCTCTATGTCAACTCTGCAAAACATATTTATGGAGTGCATGTGCACTTTGTTTCCTTCCGCTGAAGAAGAAGAAGAAGACAAGTAAAATGTTTGAACCTTGACAACACTTGCCCATAACCACTAGTCTTCTACCAGAGAGTCATTAAGCAAATTGTGGTTTCTTGTAATGCTTCCACTTCCCCAAATTCTAGGGAAGAATCCTGTCCCCCAAGGTTCTTTCTTCTTTTTGTCTCTTTAAACAGAAGTTTCAAACGAGACATGATAGATTTCAAAGGTGCCGGTTCTGCAATGACTTTATCAAATCAGTGATAAATGGCATCTAACCTCCCCCCCTTCTTCTCATGTTATACCCCGTGCCAGACTCCTCATTAAATCATCAATGCTCTTTTATTCCTTCTTTCTCCCAACCCCCCCTCGCCAAGGCGTTATTGCATCAACATCGATCCAGCACAATCTTTATCACCAAGTCCCCTAATAATGAGGGTTTGAGAGAGAGCAACGAGTGCCGATGGCGTCCCCATCCATCACAAAGGCCTTACGCAGTCGTGATTTTCTCCCAATCATTAACCGTGACTATTGTCTCCTCTTTCCCTCACCATTGTGGAATGAAATCTGTGGAGCTGTCTTCAAGTCACTACACCATTCATCACCAGACAATAATACATGCACACCATCCCAAAATGATGGTTTTTATAACAAATTTAGCCAACAATTTGAATTTAATCTACAGCAGCAGCGGCACAAGAACCCTCCTGTTATTTCAGCCTCAAAATGCCTGAAGATAAATATCAAATTGCTATTCAGCAACTCAATGCAATCAATTGAGTTTTGCTGAACAGCGATTTCATTTCAATTCTAATAAAAAGGCGGACTCCTTAAAATGTAAAAAGAACAACTCTTCCTTTACTCCAAGGTTGTCGCATATATACATACAGATAAAAGCTTGTTTGTCAAGAACTTAGAAAAATGCCTCGGAATGATTGAACCTACATGTACAATACAAGAAGCATTTAACACACTGCACAACTAGTGACTTGCTGTACAATCTTCAAACTTGCTGACAGATTCTACTGCCACATTCTGAAAAGCAGGGTTCTATCCAAGACAAATGCAAAGAATATGGACATTTGCCCACTCCTGAGGGCACTGTGCAAACACTTATTATTTTAAGTATAGTAGCTGTGTTCTAAGCCTCCATCATCCCATGCAGTCATTTATATCATCCAAAAGCAAAGTTACCCCAGCAGCAATGTGATACTGACTTCTACCCTCTTCTCTGCTTTCAGTTTAATTTGTTTTCCGTGGTGAATGGGGCAAATGACTGACAAACAATGACCTACGTGATCTACGTGTTTCACTATTGAACAATCACCTTCCACATGTGCAACTGTAATGTTCAGAAATACGGCCCTTTTCGTGATCAATTTACTGTGAATGACTGTACATGTACTCCTTGCAAAATGTTTCCTGGAAAGAGACTGACAGCCATAGGGTTTCTTTTTTGACAGAAAATGAAACACCTGTGATGATTAAAAAGTACGGTAAAATAACATTCTCTGACCCAGCAAACATTTCCAGTGTTATCCCTAGTCTCAGGGGAAAATTTTGAGCACAAACTTAAAAGCAATGCTCGTCTTTTACGGAGCCTGATAGCTTAAAAAGAAATTAACATCAAATTCAACATCACTAGAAACAGAAAACCAACAGACTGTCCATGACAGGACAAATATAAAAAAGCCAAATTTTAAGATTTAAGATAAGCAATTGTTTTTTTCTGCATTTCCAAAACCAATGAAACATGCTATCAGTTGAAGTTCTGTTTAGTAAACAATCATTTGATTTGTGGATCAGCTCTATATCTTGTAAAATGATTTGATATTTCTCAACCCTCCGCAATGTCCAGGCCAGCACTGAGATGGCACCAGAACATCCTATACAGTCTGCAATGTAGACCACTGATGAACATGACCAAGAGCTATCACATGAGCAAAA